CTCTGGCCCATCTAGTCTACACAGTTCTCATATAGATCTTTGCTACCTTTCTAATTACAGAAAAAAACTATCAGATCCCCGTGACTTCGTCCGCGTAATGTACATAATTACGTTACATAGTAATAAATTGATCAGAATTTTTTTTAAATAAGTAGTAAGTACATAGTTTAAATAAGCGAATTCAAGATACCTATTGCTGTGTAATAATATTAAAAGAAATGTGATTGTAATTATATAGCTAGCTAGATTGGGAAAGCCTCAGCTACAAACCGAATCAAGTCTGACACTCACCACAGGACGTCTAAGAAATGAATCTTGAGTTTAGTAGCAAAAGCACTTAGCTTTTCCACTTTAGCGTCAGTACAAAGCTTTTTGAATTTCGTGCTAAAACTTTGAGAATCTTTCGCAAAATCAGATTTCCAGGACAAAAATTACATTAAAGAAGTTTCTTCATGAAAATTGAATCTGTTAAAAACTCCTTAATATCCGCGCCGTCCGCTCAGAGGGTAGCATCTCCCGGCTGCCAGTAGAGTCCCTCAAGACAGAGTCTGGCAAGGCGACGCCATATTGCTCGATTCCTGCCTAAAGTTCCATAAGAACTTAAGGGGCTTTAGTCCTGTCTTACTCTATCTTGCCAGACTCTATGTTAAGAGACTCTAGCTGCCAGACACTCGACGCCACCTGAATTTCATGAAACCGAAACTCTGACGCCATGACGCCATTCCCAATAATCACGCAGTTGTGACCGGTCGCGTCTTTTTGCACTCAGTTAGTTTTTTGTATCAAATCGCCCTTTTTGACACTCAGCAAGTGATTGTGCACAAGTTTTGTGCTATCAACTATCCTCACTAGGCTAACAACACTCGAAAGGTCATTCAACATCTGTTGCGTGTAACAACCACGTGCTTCAGGTATCGGCGTCGGTGTTGGTGGACACCACGTGAGTGAAAATAAATAATATTCTCACTCATCATCGACAGTTATCATCACCTCGTGCTTTGTGAGAGCCTTACAACCTCTCACACACTCAGTGAAGGCACCCTTGGGCCTGAAACTCTCATCCTCTGAATACTTGCATTGTGTGCACTTAGACGCACATACAATCTAGCCACTCATACACTCACAGTCGACATAAACACTCATCCACTCAACACAAGTGAGAAAGCTGTAGTGTTGTGATTTTTGTGACCTTAAGAATTTTTCTGTGTTCAGTTTAGTGCAAATAAAGACGTTAACTTATTATCAAGCTAATTGTTGTTATTCTCTGGCAACCCAGTTAACCCTGGTGTATTCATTTATTTATTTAGTTTGGTCAAGAACTCGACAGAATCCGATAGGAATTTTTAAGAACCTTTATCTAGAATTCCTGTACTGAGTGTGAGGACCTCAAGTTCTTTATTTGGAACAAATACTTTACATCGTTTAGTAATAAAATGTTTGAGCATCAATGGAGTCAAATCAGATTCAAGTTGATATATGTATTTTAAGAAACACTAGTCTCGTAATTTATATCTGATCGGATCTATGAATATTTAGATCGAATTAGATCTGAACGACTTTTTTACCGTTAATAGGTAAAATATTAAAAAGAAACCGAAAGAGATTAATCAGATGATTGAATTCCATAATATTCCAGGCCTAGACATCTCGATATTGAAGTTTGGATTTCCTAAAATAGAGTTCGGAGTTGTTATTAATTGACTAGTCAAGGTACTATCCATCTCGTCATATCAATTCTAAAAGGGTGGAAAGCAATCTCATATGGATATCACGTTTCTAGCGCACGATTCGTGAACGGAGATTGTTGTAATAAAATGTAAAACGTGCAAATATTCGATTATCTCAAGAAATAATATCGGGACCAATTGCATTCAACGCATAATTACGTAACTGAGAATTGATTAGATTTCCAGCAAGATTGGTCTAGCCGTTTTTTGTGCAGTACAAACCATGTTACCAATTGAAGACTCAATCCTGCAATCCTCAGCGTACTCATCGAATTATAGGATAGAAAATAAAACCAATTCTTACTTATTACACATGTATTCAAAATGTTCCAAAAGTTTATTTTTATAATGATAAAAATACAAGTTACAAAATTGTGCAAATATCAAATTGGAAATGAGAATTTTAGATAGTATCCAAAAATGTGCATGTTGATAAGACTAGTCATCTGATCTGAAACAAATCAAAATATACATTAGTCACATCCAGTATTTATCTTAGTTTGTGGAAAATCATCTTAATATTACAGACTGTTTCTTGGCCAATATAATGTTGAAGCAACTTTAATGATTTCAATAATGGAATCTGCGTGGGATCAAAGCTACTACCAACATTTTGGCGAAAAAAATCAAAAAGTAGCGACGTCTAGTAACGGTTCTATAAATTATTTCGACTGGTAATAATAAACTGGTGAGAACGGCTCAGTAAATAGTGCCCTATTCAATCTCTCAGGTAACAATATGCTATTGTCTTCTCCATATTTACTTGATTTTCTACTTTACAGAAAATTTTTCTAAGTCCTTTTTTAATTGATTATTTAAAACTTTTTGTAATTCAGCAATATTAAAAAACAAAGAACCCCGATTGGTAGGATTCGGCTATGTTTTGGCAGTTTTCAGCTTCTTCGTACTGCGCAATCTCCAAACTTTATAAATGCAGCTATGTTTAAAAGAAACCTCCGAAAGAGATTTATCATGCAAGGTCATAGCTTAACTGGTAGAGCATCTAGCGCCTAACTGGATGGTCTTGGGTTCGAATCCCGGTCTCGACAGAATATATTTTTGCTGAGAATCGTCCCGAGCTAGTTGTAGAGTCGTTTGTATCGGTTGAAAACTTTGCAAAGTGAAAGTATTCCTTACATAGCATTATATCTGAATAAGAAACTTCGAGTTTAACGTATTGCTTATGAGTAAACTAATTATAAGTTATTGGAATACAAAAAAAAAATCAATTTTAATGGATAAAACTTTGGCTAAACTTTAAAAGTTTATGCAGGTATAAAAGTTTCATAAGCTTAAGAGAAAAATTAAAATAAACACCTTATAATTTCAGTCCGTATTCAGTGCTTCGATCATTTCATCAGTTGGGGTCGCTAGCTTCCGGCACATGAATCTCAGTTCCGCTTTAAGTCTGTCTTTATCTCGCTGAAGTTTTATAATATAGTTTGGATCCCGACAGGATTGTTTATTGCACTTATCTTCTGCCTGTAAATCTTTAAGCTCTTTCGTTATCTTTAAATTTTTTTTAGTAATTTTTATATGGTATTCCGGCGTGTTAAGCGAATCCATCGTTTTCTAGGATTCACTTTCAATGAATGTCCGATCGCGGCTGTGAAATATCAACACTGTCTTTCTGCCGACACGATCGTATTTATTTATGTTCTCGTTAGCGCACACTTCTGCGCAGAGTTTATTGTCACACGCGCAGATGTACAGCAAAAAGGCAAGCACAGAAATAGTAAACAGTAAGAACAGAAAATTTAAGAGCTATTATTTGCGAGTAAAATTGCGCGTGCATTCGACGTGAAATCAAGTGTGGCACTGTTGAGCGAGCGTTTAGCGCGAGTCCGCAGAGCGTCGGTGCGGTGCGCGGGCTCCGGGCGCGGCGCGGCGACGAGCTACGACCAAGGCAGTGCGCGTGATCTTGACGGCACTAAGCGTATGTGCGTCTACAAAACATTGAAAACTTTTTTGTTTCCCTGAATATGGTTTAGATAGGTGTAGGTAAACAATATGAGCAACGGTGATGACGAAATAGTGAAAAATCAGGTGTGCTATATAAAATATATTTTAGTATTGAATATCTACTCTGAACAATGGAACAATGAATTATTTCGTAGAAAAATACTCAACAGCTTTAAACACGTCAATTAAGAAATAATGAAAATTCCTAAGAAAACTTACTAACAGCAAATTTCACACTCATCGGTAGGGAAATGATCATAAATCGCAAAATGCTTGCAATTTTGACACCAAAAAAAATCATGGTATAACAATTTTGTCGTCTTCCCTTGAGCCACAGTGAAGTACACCGGCCTATTGGTTGTGTCGTTTGAAATATTATAGTCACAACCATAACATTTTTTTACTTTCAAAAAGTGTGTAACTTTCCACGGCCATTTGGCATACTTCAGCTTATGGAAATCCTTTTTAGTTAAAAAAAATATCCACATCCATTAATACAACCATTTCCAGTCCAGAATAAAATACAGCTTGCTGAAAATGTTTAAGAACTTTATAATTACGTATTTAGGAAAAAAGGCAATGAAATTGATTTTGTTTGGACACTTGTCTAGGGGTGCAAAATTACGTAAGTAATAACAACATTACCTACACATCATAACATAGCGAAATTTTAAGGTAATTCATAATTAGGTTAGTAGCGGTGACAATGTTTGATGTAAGTATAAATATTTACAACAACTTACAAGATTTGCACATTACCGTATGGTTTAATCCACATTACCCACAGAACCCTAAAACTTAAATATGGTGGCGTAGGTATGTCATGTAAGCGTCTTAACTTTGATTAAAAAGTCATTTAAAGGTTCTGATAAATGCAATTTAATGGCACGTGTTTCGACCCTATGTCGGATAAGTATTTATTAATTTATTACTGAATTAACAAATAATGAAAATGTTAAAGTTTGAAGGCGTATGAAGATATTATGTTTATTATCGTCTAACACTTCATCAATAAAATGATTTTCGCAAGTTGAGTAGGCACTCTTTACAAAACAGTTAGGTACACGGCAAATGGAGGAGCTCGATGGCGCAGGTGGCTAGCGCGTTCGGCTGCGATCGTTGAAGTTAAGCAACTTTCGCAGTGGTCGGTCATTGGATGAGTGACCAAAAATTTACTATCTCGAGCTCCTCCGTGCTTCGGAAGGTACGTTAAGCCGTTGGTCCCGGCTGCATTTGCAGTCGTTAGCACCCACCAATCCGCACTGGGCCCGCGTGGTGGGTCATGGCCCAATCTCCCTATTCCATCCATAGGGAAGGCCTGTGCCCCAGCAGTGGGGACATTAATAGGCTGATGATGATGACACGGCAAATGTTATATAATGACAAACATTATTATAATGTGACTTTACTTACTTTTGGAAAATAAAAGAGGATTCAATGTCACGCACCAGCACAGTACAATGAATTAACGAAAAAAGAACGAATGATCGACTGAATGAATCTACTAATGGTATTAAGCTGATCACTGTAGGATCAATTATTCTAGTAGCGGCACGCGCCAGATCATATGACCAATTGCTCTTTTTAAATGCATTTACCGGATTTTTATAGGACAAATATTTTGTTAAAGCACTTAATAAGGTAATTATAAAACCAAATAGCACTTTACCGGATTATAACAAAGCGACTATAGGGCGAAATAGTCCTATAAACTGCGCCCAAATGCGGCTCTATAAACGTTTACAGGATTTCTATAGGATTAAAAAATACGTGCTCCTAGGATAATTACAGGGCCACATTTTGCTACTTGGGAGTCTTGTCGTGTTGTGTATGTTCAGTTCGTTCATTTCAGAGTTTTCAATTTCACTTTTTTCTTTTCCGTTTCAACAAACGGACTGTCCATTAGCTGTAGTATCTGTATTATTGATAATATTTCGATTCGAATCGAGATCGGAAGCAGAAGGTTGTACCACTCTATCATCATCAGATGATGAAGATGAAGAACTGCTGGAACTGCTGGAGCTGCTTGAACTGGAGGATGAAGAGCTGATGCAACTAGATGATGACTGACGTGGTGAAAGATGTACTGGTTCATTTTCTTTCTTTTTATTTCGGATCGTCATTGTCGCTGATATCTGGACTGATTTCACCAGAATGTACGGGTGAAACATTGTAGTTAACTTGGACTCTTTTACGGCTACAATATTTATGATGATTAGTGATTGACAACCATCTTGTCTGACATGCTTGAACTATTTTAAGTGGTTTCTGACCATCGTTAATGGTTTTGTATAACTCCCTATAGGTAGACTGTCTGGAAGAGGAGCGGCTAAACCAATCATATGTCTCTCTAATTAATAATTCCAAAATCCTCCAAAAATTGCTTTGCTGCAGCTGAAACTGCCAGTTGCAAAGAATGGCATCAGCAATGAACCAATACTTAATGTGGAACCTCTTCTTTCAACTTGGTAAAAACTCCATTATTGACACCAACCATCACAGAAGCATTATCTGTGCCAATGCCCATTAAATTTTCAATTCGCAGATCGAATCGTTTAAGCGTCTTCTTTATAGCAGAGACATTACCTTAGGCATTACAATCAGCAAGTTCAAGATATGTAGATACTATTTTTTGGTACATTTTACTGTAATAGATTATAATTATACCTAATTATTTCTGTACAGCAATATCTGTGGACTCATCAATTAGTAGGCTGAATGGTTGATTGTTAAAATCTTGTTTTAGAACCTCAGTAAAATGTGATGCCAACACATTTTTTTATGATTGAGGAGCACTTGGTCCGGTGTAGTTGTATTTTATCGATATTTTTTTGATGACTATGATTAATTACCTCTCCCAAGTGGTCAACTACACGTATGCTAGTATGCATGGCTGTGAATAACGCGAGTCTGGCTTCTTCCCTTTCTTTAGTTCCAATGAGCTCTGGTTTAAATGGTAGCTTAGGCTGCATAGATATAATCTGTAACAACTTAAGTTATCGAAATAGTAGAAGCGAAATGGTCCAATCACTAACCAAACCTTACCCGTAAGGGTCCGGCTGACTCTTTCCTACAATGCCAAAAAAAACTATGTAGTAAATAACCCACATCTCATATTCTCTACTTCGCATTATGACTAAATCGCATAATGACATAGTAGCAAAATGCCTACTTTTACAAAGATACTATATAATACGAAAAAAACGTCTTTTACAGATAAAATTTACTCTCTCCATCTTTACTTTTTATATGATCTGAGATAGAAAGCTGTTTATTGAAAAAAATAACAAATGAACACAATGCCGCGTGGCGCTAGTGTGGCGAATGGCTTAATTTTTTTAAAAATACTGCTTCGCACACATGCAGAAAAGAGTCACTTTCCGCATAGGGTCATCCATAAAGTACGTCACACTAAATTCGTGATTTTGTTACCCTTCCCCCGTCCTTGTCCCATTTGTGAGATCCCCCCCCCCCCCTCTCCCTAGTGTGTCGTCACATATTTTGCATCTAGCAATTATGAAATTAAAAAAAAAGAAAACCACTAAAAAGTAAAAAATAATATACATATTCTTTAAGGGGGGTTTACACGGGTTGATTTTCGCCGTGCGGCGAGTCGCTTCACTAATTGCCTCACCAAGCCGCATCGCTAGCCCATTTACACTGGTTACTAAAATCGCATGCGGCTCTGTCATTTCCATCGAAAATGTTGAGCAGAATACCCGTGTGTGCCGGAATTGAAATAATTAATTATTCAAATATTCAACAATTGCTTAAAGAACAAAGAGTGAAGAAAAAACAAAAGGAAAGAAGAAAACGTAATGTTTGGGTACGTGGATGGATTTCTCGACGTAAGGACTTGGGTGCTTCAGATACTTTATTGGTTGAGTGGAGTTTAGAAGATCCTGATTATTTTAAAAAACGATTAAGAATGACTACTGATCAGTTTAATACTTTACTACATAAGGTTACTCCGCTTATACAAAAATGCGATACCAATATGCGAGTAGCACTTTCTCCGAAAATTAAATTAGAAATAACCCTGAAGTTCTTGGCTACCGGTGATAACTATTCAAGTCTTGCAGAGTCATTTAGAGTTCCAGAATGCACAATTTCCTTGTTTTTGAAGGATGTTTTGGATGCTATATACAATGTTTTACAGGAGTTCATTATGGTAAGTGAAACAAGTAATTAATTATAAACGATTTATTTATAAATTTTCCATTGTGTTTTCATCTACGCATGACCTAACAGCTTGAGATAGAATATCGTCGTTCACTCCGTATTGTTACCCAGTATTTTCTTGTGTAAGTAAACAGCTGGTAAAATAGTCTTCTTCATAAGCGAGGTGCCTTCTAGAAGTGGAAGCTTCGGGAGTCGAAGTTTTACTCTGGTTTTGAAAAGCTTGGTTTCGGGAAGTAGTAGCTTCGGCTTCTGGAGTCGAAGTATAGCGTGTATATTCTGAGAGTGAATTTAATTTGTATTTAAGGTTTTCAGTCTTTCTTGTGGCGAATAATTATTGATGAAATTTTGACAAACAATAGCATTTCTTAATGGCAAACTACGTAATTGGCTTGCCACATATACTCCGAATGTATCAAATTCATCTTGACGGATAGTTTGAGCCAAAGTTTCTAATCTATTGACTGCTTGAAGTAGCATGACTTTTGCCCCCACAAATATTTCCAGTTCCGCTGGTAAACCCCCAGTTTTGTTGATATCAGCTGGTATTATAGTAGCTATATCCACATTGTCTGCATTTCGTGTGGCGTGTACTAGCTGATCCTGCGCTTTTATTTTGTAAATGCGAGCACCATTATTTCTGTACAAATTCAATACAGCAGAGTTGTGGTCGTTAACTTGTTGATTTGTGGGGTATACCCTTAACGCTTTGTCTATTGCAAACTCATCACTCGTGTCTTGAAGAAGTCTTCCCATTAAAATACTAAAATGTTGGGTTGTTAGCTCACCGACTCTCAAAGCATTCAAAATATCAATAAAAGTCTGGTCACCTTGCTGACGCATATTTTCAGTTAATTCACACAGCGTTAATAAACGCCAGAGATGTGTAGCTGATTGGAGATGTTCTGGCTGTTTGAAAGCTCGTTTTGCTTTATACTTTTCTTTCGCTTTTTGAAGCCTTCGTTTACGTTGTGTTGCAGTTTCTGTTTTGTGTTTGTATTTTTTATATTTTCTTTTACCATTTTGTTCCCACGAGTAATGGACATTTAAACGGTCGACCCCCCAGAGGTCCAATAAAGGGGCAAGGCTATGTACAACAAGATGCGCCTGAGTCTGGAGGGGAAAACGCTAAAGACATATCATTTTTATCCACCCTAATGCCATACAGTTCTCGGCGCGTTTTAACCTTTCACCTTAACTTGGGTGGTGTACCGCTAACGACGTATCATTTTTAGCCACCCTAACGCCACACAGTCCTCAACATGTTACAAAATCTTGACTTGGGCGGTGGATTCAGGCTGGATTAATCAGATACCTAAATTACAGATTCAATTTCTAAATTTAAATCTTATTATTATACGCCATTTAGTGGCTGCGCCCATCTTAAATATTGAGGTTGTATAGTGCACTGTATTCTTCTTGTCAAGCCCTTTTATTTGATACCCATATTGGTGGGATTGATAAAAAATTGTTATCAGCCATTTGGTAGCGGCGGCCATCTTAGATTTCAATAAATAGTATAGTAAATTGTATTCATATAGCATAATAAATTGTATTCTACTTGTTGAGACCTTTCATTTGATACCCATATTGATGGGATTGATAAAACCTACGTTATCCGCCATTTTGTAGCGGCCGCCATCTTGGATTTCAATTTTTTATAGTATATTGTATTCTGCTTATTGAGCCCTTTCATTTGATACCCATATTGATGGGATTAATAAAATATATCCGCCATTTTGTAGCGGCGGCCATCTTGAATTTATAATGATAATGAATAAACATAATTGTATTGTCACCAAAATCCAAAGTGTATACAAAATTTCAGATTAATCGGTTGACAGGAAGAGGGTGAAATTTGAATTACTAAATTTGACCCAAGAATAAAACAAATGGGGTGAGCTAAATAAAACCGTTTAAAAATAGTTTGGCGAAGGCATGTCGGAATGACAAGAAGAGCCGTACCAAGGCAGCATTGGAGGCGTGTATAGGTACCACATTTTTGCGTTTTGTTTCCTTTTGTATCATTATTTTTTGCCATTTTTTCCACGCTCACTCCCCCTTCGGCTTTGTACACTCCCACTCTGCCCTTGACCATGTTTTCCTCTGTCGTCACCGTAGGTTTGCACGTCGTCGACGTTGTCGTATGTTTTTCTCCTTCTTTCGTTTCTTTATTAAAAATTTTCAATTTTTTTCGCCATTTCCGTTTCTCTACCTCCTCCTATTTGTATAACCGCCAACCTGTGTTCTGGATTATTGACATCGTAGTACCCTTGACCTGGAATGCCCATCGCAGTGTTCTTTCCGACGTAATCAATTTTTCTATTGCTCGCTGCCAAATAGTCTTATTTGTGTTTTTTTCTAACGTTCGCATTCTCTGCCGGCGATTCTTAATTTCTCCTCGTCTGACATACATCCCATTATTTTTCGTTGACCCGGTACGCTACTCGCTTTGACGAATCTTCTGTGAGATATTGGATCCCATTCCCCCACCTCACACCAAAAACGGTTCTGATTTAGTTTTTTTGGCTTCCATTGGCGGCTCTTCCTCCTCTTGTTTCCTCTTCGATGTGCTGGGTTTCATAACAGGGGTGCTCGGCGACGTCGTAACCTTCGGACTCTCCGTATTGTGATGGGATGTTGATGCGACTTGATCGTCCTCTGTCTTCGATGGTTGTGCGCTGTGTGTCGTCGGTGTCGGATCTGGTCGTCGTCGCTGCTCTGTCTGCTTCGTCGTTACCGGAGTCGATCGTCGTGTTTCGATTCTATGAAATGAAAAAAAAAACACTCGTTAAATTGTCATCTCCCATCGCTCCTTTTCGTCATCTAGTGCGTGTCCTACCTACGTTTCCACTATCTTAGCTCCCGCCGCCGAATATTCGTGCGTTCACTTGTAGTTCGGTATCGACAAGCTCGCATAGTTAGTGTTCGGTTGGGGAGCGTTCGCTTTACTCATCAACAGATTCGTCCCGTGCGGTAGACATTTTAAATCGATAACGGTCTCCACTAAAATATTCAATATCGCGTCTTCTAGAGTGTTGTCCTTGTTCAATAGTGGTATTATCCCTATTCCTAGCGTTGCCATAAAGTTTTTCGTTTTCGTTAGTAAACAGTCCTCCTACAGTGCAATTGTCAACCGTCGCGTTTGTGTAATCTTTCGTTGAACGCTTTCCCATGCTGCAAGCCCTCATCGCCACCGAGTCTAGTTTGAGCGTCGAAGTGCCCGGTGTGTTTCGTAATATGTTACCCTCTCGTTCGAAACCCTCGTTGTTCGAATGAAACGTTCCGTCTTTAGGACAATACGATTTTTCGTAAAACGGACCTATCGAATTTGTCGCAACAGAATCGTCGATTCCATTATCAACGGCGGCAGATAAAACATTTTATTAGTATTGTTCAGTTTAAATTTGTACGAAATCTTATTGTCTATTATTTTGGCTTGCGCCGTGGAATGGTCCGGATCCGCGTTTTCCCCGTCCGAATATTTTTCTAGCGTTTTACCGTACAGCGTTTCGGCCGTTATATTATTTCCTACTGTCACCGGGCACATTAATTCCATATTTTCCCATATCCCTATCGTCGTTTGTGAATTTGCGTTTGCATAATTCACCGTGTTCGTTGGACGTTATGAACGGAGTCCTATTTCCCAAATTTGTAATTTTTATCCCTACTCTCATTACTTTGGCCGTGTGATATACCGTCGTCAAGTCGTAATACTCTTTTTCCGTCATATAAAAAAATATATACTGCCACGGTAGACTGTGCGCGTATGTACTATACTCTACATTGTTATTGCTTTTCGTGTAAGACGCCTTTGTCGATTGAATAGCAAATGTATTTTTTTTTTTAATCTAAAGCTGTGAGTGTGATGTCTGTTTTGAACTCCCCCTCCGATCACTGAACTTACGTTTGCCGGTACCGCGTCCATTTTTTGGCACATATCCTTCTTCTTGCTCGGATTCGGATATAGCACTCCCGTCACCTTCTCGATCAAATATTTCGTCCCGATTCCTCCTTGCGCTAGGTATTTTGCGAAACTCTCGTACCGTCGATCTCGATGTGATCAATGACACTTCGTACAGAAATTCTCGGTCCGCACTCCGGATGCTTTCTTTATATCTTTCTCTATTCCCGCTTGTTTTGAATTCTCGCGCCGCCTTGTCGTACTCTTTGTCATGTCTTTTGGCAGCGTTGTCCAATTCACTTATTGGTACGCCGCTGTTCAAACTGTTTCCCGGTCCCAAATAATTATATCCAGGCAGAGTCAGTCCTTGCGCCGTCGGAGCACCTTTCATACAAAGCGCATTAATGAGATATGCTTTCGCCCTATAATAATACTCATAAGCCCTTCACCACCTCCTTGGGTTTGAGTTAAAATTTTGAAAAAAACAAATTGCAGCCCGGACAATGGCGGGAAAATTCACAATTATTGAGTCTTCAAGGTAATAATCAAAGACAATAAACAGAGGATGAAAAACGTGTGCGAGAAATATTTACCACATTTTTTAATGGAGCTGGAGCTGTAGATTTTCAAGAACGAATGGCAAATATTGGCCGTTGTGATTAATTTGTACAATGACTATAATAAAACTTACATTTCTCGTATCGTCAGTGTCAATTGAGTCAACGCCATCTCTTGTAGCTGTCTGGTTTTCAATTAAAAACATCAAGTTCTCGTAATACCATAATGTTGGTTTATAAACGTCGGCAGCAGCTGTGCCTTTCGTTTTACTCGCTTCCACCTGGAAAATAATAATTAAAATTAATTATACTGCACTAGCTTATGCCTGCGGCTTCGCTCGCGTTAAAAAGTAGCCTATGTCACTCTACATCCCTTCAACTATTTCCACTTAAAAAATCACGTCAATTCGTCGATCCGTTTTGCCGTGAAAGACGGACAAACAAACAGACACTCACACTTTCCCATTTATAATATTAGTTTGGATTATTACGTACACATAGGTATGGAAATAATAGAACGTAAGCAGAATTATGTAATAAGTATAAAATTAATTAATTAACGTTATTGTGATTTATATAAATATAACAAACAATATTTTTCCACTGATTCAGCAAAATCTCTAAGGAATTATGTCTTGCTTGTTTATTTTTATATAATGGGTTAGACACATCCCAAAGGCATGGCAAGTCTTTATATATATCTAAAGTCTCCTCCATTATTTCCCGTTCAGATCGAATAGACATAATATTGTCGTCATGTTGCTCCATCTTTCTTCTCAAAAGACAAGTCAACGCACACACCCGCTCTGAACGCCGCTTGCACAGTGACTACGTTAAAAAATTGGACAGTTAGCGTCCACACCACCCAATTTGATTGGGCAATCCCGAATCGGGCGATACCGACCATCCAATGAACTTCAAATTCATATTTCCGTCCACACAACACAATTCGATTGTCAATCTAATCAAATTGGACGTAAAATTGTATCGTGTGGAAACCACTTAACGGTCATCATACGCGGCTAGAACCCGTTTGCTCATCGGCTCGCCGCCTGCGCACAGCGGTTTGGCAACGTCGCGTGTCATGCAGGGAGCGTATCAGCACCGGCAAAATATTCTCATCGAGAATAGTTGCCGCTCCGAGCATGTCACGCGTTGGTTGGTGACGGAACGGTCTAGTGAGCATAGTCCCATACTTTTCAATACAAAGAATACTTTTTTCCCTGACTTGTTCATAGCACGGTCATGGTATGATACGGTGTAAAGGGTAGAGACTTTTATAAAACAATAGCTTTTAGCTACCGTCTTTGGCATTCAACAGTACAAAATATTGTTATCGAAGTATGTACAGCAATAAATGAAACTTTAATGACAGAATTTATTCCTATCTTCCTTCTCGAGACAAATGGTTGCAAATATCTAATGGCATGTGGAATTGTGGAACTTTCCTAATTGCTTAGAAGCTATAGACGGAAAACATGTCGTAATAGAAGCCTCATCCCATAGCGGATCTTCATATTTTAATTATAAGATTATCTATAGAAAACATTATCTATAGAACTGTTTGCATTAGTAGATTCTAATTACAACTTTATTACAAAAATAGCAATGGAGGTATTTTGGCCAATTCAGCCCTTGGAAGAGGATTGGATAATGGAACACTGAATATTTCTGAAATCTCTCCACTTCCAGGAACAAACATCTTGGCTCCATTATAGTAATATACGTGGGTGGATTGATAAGTTTCCGGCCTGACCAAGAAAAACAACGTTTTTAAGTTTTTTTTTTTTTTATTTCTCAACATAATCTCCTCCAAGGCTGATACATTTCTCATAGC